CCTCCCACTGCTCTGCCCCGCCCACTCCTGTACTGCCCTCTGCCCCGCCCACTCCTGTACTGCCCTCTGCCTTTGCACCGCCCACTCCTCTGCCCCGCCCACTCCTGTACTGCCCTCTGCCCCACCCACTCCTCTGCCCCGCCTACTCACCTGCTCCACCCCAGCCTCTAGCTCCCACTGCCCTGCCCCGTGCACTTCTGTACTGCCTTTCCCTTTGCACCCTGTCCACCCCCCCGCCCCCGTACCTGCTTGCAGACCCTGCACCAGGAGTAGTTGAGGATGGTGTGCTGGTAGCCCGGCACGGGGGAGTGGATCGCGTCTTTGAGAAAAAAAAAAGTTAACTAATTTCACCCTTGTTTATTTATTCTGTTATCGCCGCTTTTATTTCTTTGCCGATAACGGCTGGCAGCTCTTAACTCGGTTGTGTGCTGATCCGGGGATGCGCAGCAGGTGTTGAATGAATGGAGATCAGTGGTGGTCACTGATTAGCAGAGTTTTGCAGGGATAGTGTTGCTGTGGTTGTGCATTTCGTGCCCTTTCAGGAAATGAAGCGAGCTCTTGCGTTCGCTTGTACGAGACGGCCTGTTTAAGCCTAGCGCACCGGTGCCACCGGCCTGTCGGCACGAGCGCTGTGGGTGTCTCAGGGGGTAACCATGTGCTTCGGTCCTGCAGATGGACTGCCTGAACCCTGTCAACCACCAGCGCCTGTGCGTCCTCTTCAGCAGCTCCTCGGCGCAGTCCATCAACGCTCCCCACCCCTGCGTCAGCCCCTGGTACACGCCTCCGCCCTCTCGCTTCGGTGGTAGCGCTCCAGGATAGTGGCTCTCGGTGTCGGGGGGTGGGGGGGTGTCCGGTGGGGGGGGTGTCCGGTGGAGGGAGGGGTTAGTTGCCACAAGAAAACGACTGGATCAATTTGGGGTGCGGCGAGGTCAAGTATGGATCACGTTATTCCCTCTCCCTTCCTTCTCCCCAGGATCGTTACCATGGAATTCTACGGGAAGAACGACCTGACCCTTGGGGTGTTTTTGGAAAGATACTGTTTCAGGTAATACAAACACATGCAAGAAAAATGAGCCATGGGCGAGAGAGTTGTCAGAACAGGGGAGTGTTTAAAAAGCGCTCGGTGATGACTGCTTTATCCCGACACATTTAGATCGTCTTCCAAAGTGGTCCCCCGTTTAAAAGCGTTTCCATGTCTAGGCCCGTCGGCAGGTGTGCAGTTTTGGGGTTCAGTTTACACGCCCCCTAGGATGGTGTGCAGCCGCAGCGGCAGAGGAACGCCGTTGCAGCCAGGTGCGAGGCGGTTGCCGAGGGTAACCAGCAGCTGCCGTGCACTCTGTCTCCTGTGTGTGAAGCAGGCCCTCGTACCAGTGCCCCAGCGCGTTCTGCGACACTCCCATGGTGCACCACATCCGGCGCTTCGTGCACGGCAGCGGCTGCGTTCAGATCGTGCTGAAGGAGCTGGACTCCCCCGTGCCGGGCTACCAGCACACCATCCTCAACTACTCCTGGTGCAGGGTCTGCAAGCAGGTACGGGGGTGGGGGGGGTGGACAGGGTGCAAAGGGAAAGGCAGTACAGAAGTGCACGGGGCAGGGCAGTGGGAGCTAGAGGCTGGGGTGGAGCAGGAGAGTAGGCGGGGCAGAGGAGTGGGTGGTGCAAAGGCAGAGGGCAGTACAGGGGTGGGCGGGGCAGAGGGCAGTACAGGAGTGGGCAGGGCAGAGCAGTGGGAGGTGCAAAGGCAGAGGGCAGTACAGGGGTGGGCAGGGCAGAGGGCAGTACAG